CCTAAGGGACAAAGGGTTCCACGATTTCTCTGAAATCTCCAAGCTAGGGAAATTCAGGTTCAAGGTTGACACCGAGTTCGAAACCCAGCTGAGACAGTTAAAGCTGGCAGATGCCAACTTGAGACTGTACGAACCCAAGAGCAGGGATCATACCATCACCTTCATCAGGGGAGTCCCCACCAGCTTCAATGAGGAAGAGATGTTGGAGAACATAGAAGCAGAACACCGAGCGACCAAAGTTCAACGCATCAAGCGACGGAGCAGGAATGGAGAGCTTCTGGACACAACGAACATCAAGGTAACAGTTGAGGGTGCGCAAGTGCCAAAATGGGTAAAGATCTTCGGTTGTAACTTCAGGCCCGAATTGTACATTTTTCCCATCCGCCAGTGCAGGAACTGCTGGAGATTCGGACATGGAGCCAAGTTCTGCACCTCTCGTGCAAGATGCGCCAACTGTGGAGGCACGCACTCAACGGCAGACTGCAACATGGACGTTAAATGCCCAAACTGCAAACTCAGACATGGAGCAAGCGATATCGAGTGCCTAGAAAGAAAAAGACACGTGAAGATTCGAGAAACTATGAGGGAGAGGCAGATCACTTTCACCCAGGCAGAAACCCACTTCCCGAAGCTACAAAATCGATTCAATCTCCTGGACCAGCTGGGAGTCGAGGGAAATGAAGGTGATTTCCCAAGGCTCGGAGGAAGTGATCAACCCAACTGGCCGTTCGCAGGACCTAGGCCCCAGAGAAGACAGTCTTCTCGCTCCCGAGACATGAGTCGGGAAAGGCAGGAACCCACCACACCCAACGAGGAAGGTGAGCGTGGGGGGCTAAGGAAACTCGCTTCGACCTGTCCCATATGCCAGGAGAACCCTTTCAAGGCAACGGACTTTGAACGCTTCATCACGTGGCTGCGGCAACAATTCTTCGCAGAGGTGCGACACAAACGCTGGGTAGGAGCACTGAGAGACCTGCAACAAAAGATCGGCTTAAGGGTACAACACGCGGAGTCAGAGTTGGACAGGGACCAACTACTCGTCGACATCGGACAAGACATCCAATCAATCATCGAGGGGCAACCGCTCCAAGGAGAAACCACGAGAACCAACACAAGCTTTCACAGTGGAGTGTAAAAAGCTGATAATCTTGCAGCACAACGTCCAAAGCCTTCGCCCTGTCGATACCCGCGAAGAGCTCAGCCAGTTCCTTTCGGAAAACTCGGTGGGCGTGGCACTGTTGCAGGAAATTTGGCTCAGGAAGGAAGAAAATTTTAGATTGGCTCACTTTAGACTGGAATCTGCCAGGCGAAATCAAGGATACGGGGGAGTCGGAATTCTAGTACACGAGACCCTGGACTACGAAACGGTACAGTTCGAGGACCTTCTACCGGTCGAAGTTGTAGGGGTCAAAATAACCAAGGGGTTTTTTCCGCTCACACTGGTTTCCGTATACGTTCCCTCTGGATATAGTCCTCTCAGTGAAATCAGAAGCAAGATACTGGAACTCTTCGAGAAGCTGGACAACATGGATGGTGAAATTCTTATCGGAGGCGACTTCAACAGTCACCATCGAAGCTGGGACCCCGGTGCGACCAACTGCTACAAAGGAAACCTGCTCAACAGCATCTTGGAACCCTCCAAGTTTATCCTCCTGAACGACGGTACGACAACATGTATGTCCACGGTCAACAGAAGCAGCACAGCGATCGACCTCTCTCTGGCAACCGCCGGTCTAGCAACCAAGGCTTCTTGGGAAGTGGTCCCACAAGAATTCGGAAGCAACCATCTATCGATAGTCATCGAAATCGCAAGTGAGATTCCGGTGGCACTAGGAAAAATGAAACGGGTCAACAAGGACAAAGCAGCGGAATTGATCAACCAGTTGAAGCCTCAATACATCTATAACCCCGACGAAATGCAGACAATATTCGAGGATAGCATAGAACAAGCCAGCTTCATAATCAAAGATAAAAAAGGAAATTACCTGAAGCGCTGGTGGTCCGAGGACATCAACGAATGCTATAAGACCAAACGAGAGAAGCTCCGAATCTACAACCGAAACAAGAGCATAACCAACCACCTAGAACTCCAAAAAGCACGGGCTATCCTCAAGAGGCTCATTCGGAAGGCAAAACGGGCTTATTGCCAGGAACTCGCTGAAACAGTTGACGAGGACACTCCCCCCAGACAGCTGTGGAACATCATCAAGGGTTTGGATACCGCGCTAACCCAGCCGGTAAGCAGAAAACCGGAAACCACGCTGGATGACGCAGTACAGTTCCTCGCATACTACTACGATGGGAAGTTAAAACCGGTTGGGAAACCCACATCCGTAACCCCCTCCCACTTAAAGGGCTACGAAATGGCGCTCCAGGTCGAGGAAATCTTGGAAGCCCTAAAAAAGAAAAAGTCCCACTCGGCCCCAGGAGAAGACGGCATGTCTTACGGCATCCTGAAGAACCTCAGGCTAGACATGCAAGTTAAGGTATGTGAGATGCTCAACGAAGTCTTCGTTTCGGAAGTAATTCCGGAAAGGTGGAGGACCACCCAAATAAAGCCAATTCCAAAAAACAAAGGTGACCCGCTCAACCCAGGATCGAACCGACCCATCGCTCTCATGAACATCAATCTCAAGCTGATCAACTCGGTGATCAACAGCAGACTGGCTGATATAGCAGAAATAGAGAATTTACACCCTCCTCGATCGTTTGGCTTTCGGAAACACCGTTCGGCACAGAGCTGCGTCAACTACGTCGTCAACAAGGTGAAGGACGCCCAGCTGGCAAAGAAGGACACCGTCGTCGTATTCCTCGATCTATCACAGGCTTTCGACTGCGTGAACCTGCAAACACTGCTCAACACCCTAAAAACCTTAAGCATCCCAAACAAGATCATCTCCTGGCTTCACACTTACCTCAGCGACCGACATCTTGTCCTCAAAACAAACGAAGGAGACGCTCACAGAGAGGTTAGCGAAGGCCTCCCCCAAGGATGCCCACTGTCACCCATCCTCTTCAACCTCTACACCAGTGGTCTGCACCGGATAGAACACGAAGGATGCGAACTCGTCCAGTTCGCGGATGACTTTGCGGTGGTGGCAACCGGCAGCAGTCCAGAAGATGCAGCAACAAAAGCCAACAACTATCTATCCCAGCTCCAAACTGAGCTCACCAGACTGGAACTCAAAATCAACGTTTCCAAAAGCGCTGCAGTCGCTTTCACGAGAAAAGACACCAGCGTAGTAAGGATCAGGATAGGACGAGAGAACGTGGACCTGAACAACACTCATCGATACTTGGGATATACAGTCGACAGGACTCTCACACACAGAAAACACATCGAGGACATCCGAGACAAAGCAGCCGCAAAAGTAAAAATAATAAAGATGCTCGGGAAGCGCAGCAGCAGTGCCAACCCGAACACACTAGTCAAGATTGGGAACGCCATCATCCGCAGCCGACTAGAGTATGGAGCTCAAATATACGGAAATGCGGCCAAAACAAACCTTCAGAAGCTACAACTCGTACCTTCGCAGCGCTATGCGTTACCTAAAAACCACACCAATCCATGTGATCCACGCCGAAACCGGACAGACGCCGCTGGACATCAGAAGGGAGCTGCTCACTCTGAAGGAGCTCCTGAAAAGCACCTACCACACCAATCAGCTACAGCCTTTCTCCGATCGTTCAATCAGGAACAACTTGGGAAACGGATCCTACTGGACGGAAACGGCCGTCAAATTCAACTACATCATATGCCAAATGAACCCGAAAGACAGCGAAATAGCCTTCTTGAATAGACGGCAGTACTCGGACTACACACTGGAGAGGAACATCAAAGAGGACATGTTTGAGCACCAAAACAAAAAGGAAAACTACAGCCAGCAGTTCTGGAACCTAAAATTCCTGGAAATAAAGAATCTCTACTATGAAGACTTTCACCACCTCTATACGGATGCATCCAAAACGACGACGGGAACGGCACTGGCGGTGTACGACCACACAGACCAGCAAGTTTTGACGCAGAAAATCAACCCTAATTACACCATCACCAACGCCGAACTACTGGCTATTCGCTCGGCCATTGAACTCGCAAAGGAGAAAAAATATCACAAAGCAGTGATTTTCACCGACTCCAAGGGAGCCTGTCAAACCATCCGAAACAGAAGCAAGCAGAATGAAAACTTCCTGGCGTGGGAAATTGTCAAACTGCTGAAACAAGACAGGAACTACAAGATCAAGCTGCAATGGATTCCCAGCCACCAAGGGATTCCGGGTAACGAAAAGGCTGATGAAGAAGCGGTTCGAGCCACTCAAGGACCACAAACAAATTACAACTCCCTGACACTACCCGATGCCATCCTGCTGGCGAAAGCTGACATCTGGGACGACTGGATAACATCGTACAGAAAAATTTCCGAGGAGAAAGGAATATGGCACCTGGAAATAATGGAAACGCCGGGGGAAAAAATCTGGTTCCATGGATTAAACCTGAACACAGAAGAGAAAACTATCATCGGGCGGATACGCACAGGACACACAAACACAAAGGAGCGCAGATACAAGTGGGGGTGGGAAATAAACGATAGTTGCGAATTGTGCGACGAAACGGAAGACCTACAGCACCTACTATACTACTGCCCCAAGTTCAACATCGAAAGATCAGAGCATATCGTGCTAGAATACTGCAAACCGCTGACCACCATCCTAAAAGAGAACAACGAGACGGACCTGAAAGAAATTGTAGCTTTCATTAAACGAACAAAAATCCAAACATAAACTGAAACCGACGATACAACATCGAAGAAACCACCAAACACGAAACACGACAACCACAGTGGCGAGATGGACCGTGAGCGGTCTTAGCCGTCCAAAATAAGGACAACACAAAGAAAAAAAAAAAATAATAGAATTCAACTCGAAAAACACCATAAAACTAGTTGAAATTTATAATCCGTGATAATTAATAAGTGCTTAAACAATTTTGTATCTCGTGTGCTATGAGCTCTTTTGTATTTTGGAGTAGTGATGACGAGAGCGATGATTCTCACGTTGAAGCTGCTATGGTGCGCCTGGAACGTCGAAGATTAAGAGATATGAGCAATCCTCTTGATTTACCCCACGATGCGTAAGTTTGTTTTTGTCATAAAGTATCTAGAATAACTTCCAAGTTCGTTTTGATTTCAGGTTTGTTAAATATTTTCGGATTTCAAAGGACCTCTTTAAATATTTACTCAACATAGTGGAACACAAACTAGGAGTGACCGTTGGATCTTCATCAGTGCTACCAATAACAAAACTATCGGCAGCATTAAGATTTTTTGCTGAAGGCAGTTACCAAAAAGGTGTAGGAAACGATGTGTTCGCAGGAATGGCACAACCCACATTATCGAAGACTTTGGCATCTGTGATTGATATTTTAGAAACCCAAGTTTGCCCGATGGTCATACAGTTTCCTATGCAAGATGCAGAAAAGGATGCGATAAAACTTGGATTCTACGAAAAAGCTGGATTCCCAGGGGTAATAGGATGTGTCGATGGTACCCACGTAAGGATTTTTCCACCTCCTGCGGATGTTCAGCATCTTTATTATAACAGAAAAGGATTTCACAGTTTGAACGTTATGCTAGTATGTAGAACACCGCCTTGTAAGTAGTAAGGATAAATTATGATCATTTTTCTTTCTGTTCTTAATAGGTCTGTGATCATAGAATAATATAATACAATAATAGAATGAAAATTAAGACCTTCTTACACTATAGTCGCTCGGGAAACAATTGAGCTGGCAAATAGCGGAACCAATCGAGCATAATATCACGATCAACAACAGAAAAGCGCACATCAGCTTTTGCAAACCCTTTTCCCGTGATTCAAGGCTCGCCTACGGAAACCAACACCATCATCGGTTTGGGAAAAGTTTCTTCTTTCCGATGATGCTGTTAATTAGCTTTCGGTTGGCGAGGAAAGAACTTTCAAAGTGATTGGAGGCGAACCAGCCCCAGGCTGAAAGCCTCCCTAATAAAGATTAATTAATTAACTTTCAAAGTTTGGGTCATACAAGTTGATAGTACCTTTTTAATTGTTGGTCAAATTGGTTCCGCTTTTTGATAGATTGTAATTCTATCCGCCAGACTATAAATAAAGCGACTATAGCGCTAATATAATTTCAAAACTTTTCTGGACAACAAATCTTCGTTTCATCATCAATTGAGTGGGCTGTAAAAATAAATAAATTAATAAAACACGTATTAACTAGTAATCCTGGATCGATTCTAAGTTCCATAAAAAATAAATTTATTCAGGAATAAGTATCGCCACAATGTCGCACTTTAAAAATAAATTTCCAATCACTATAAATAAGCTAAATCTGATGTATCGGCTGCTTCCTGCTGATGGTTCGATTTTGTTACAAACTTTGTCCACATGGCTTGGTGAGTCTTGTAAGCGTCATCATTTCGTCTTCCTGCGTACAATGGGCTGAATCGGGTTCAGTGTTGTTGCTATGGGCTTGAGTGAATGTAATGATGTACGGTGCTGGCGGGAATCGTCATAATGTCTCCCCCCCTAGGTGTCAAGCGTCCTCGGTTGGCTTGTTTGATCCTTTCGTTAGCACAAATCTGGGTACCGGAAAGAGCGGTTTCATCAAACGCATTGGCTCGTCTTTTTGAAGCTCGTCTCTCAAATGGTTGATGTTATGTTTCTTGCTGGCGATTCGTAGCGTGGCGATGTCGACTTGATGAGGATAATTTATGGATTGCATTTTGTATCTACGAATACAGAATATGATTAGTGGTAACAGGACGATGGAGGCAACATGGATATTCCACCGAATGTCTAAGAACCCGTCATATGGAGTTTAATTTTTTGAAGTTCATTCGGTGTATCTCTTCGATATCCGTTTTCTGTTTGGTTACTTATATATCTTAGCCGAATATTGGCGTGAGATATTCGTGTTGTTGTATGGTCGTTGGATTGCTTTTGAATGTAAAATTCTGCACTGTGATTGTGCAGTTACCTGTTTCTGTTATAGTTTGAGTTGAAAGGATCCGTGAGTCCCAACATGAGTCCAGGATATTGACTGCCTTGTACTTGTTGATTAGTATGGTTCCGGTACCGATTACCCATTCACCGTTGATGTTCTCGCAGATGAAGCACCTTTCCTTCTGTTCGTAAAACGTTCGTTAATAGTTTGCCACATAGCAGATGTTCGTATCGATTTGGGTCCCATTTTTGTTGGCAGCTTCGAGCTGCATTAGGGTGTACTCCTTCTGTTCTATTATTGGAATATTCACAATTATGATAATATAGTTACAGGTCGGACTCGATTATCCGGAGTATCGATTTTTTTTTTCACTCCGGATAATCAAATCCTCCGGATAATCGAATCACAAGAAAAAAAAAATAAAAATCTGCCCCTCCTCTTAACGTTTGTTAAAATAATCATATTGCATATTATAATACAAAATTATTTCAAATGTCGGCATTTTATTATATTATTATTATTATTTCGGTTTGCTGAAAGTCCAATTTTGTTCATGATAAAATAGAAAAATATGATTACAGGTAATTTTTGTCAAGAATCTTAGGAAGAAAATGATTTTCTTGGATTTTTGATAATTTTTTCCAATATTTTTAGAAAAATAAAAACGTGCCAAAACAAAATTTTTATTTTCGGGCCGGTAAACTTGCACTTAATGCCTCTAATTTGGGCCCATACATAAATTCAACAAACGACTAAATTTTCAATAGCGACCAAAACAAACCATTAGTACCATCCCAATGACGCGTTCATCTAGATAAAATTGATAAATAGCAGATTTTTAGCTATGAGCCCAATCTTAGATCCATAGGCCTACATTAGAGCCATTTCCCCTATATTATTTTTCTGTTTGGGTAAGGATATTCTTGTTCAAATAGTTAGTTTTTTAAAAATAAATCTGTATATAAATAGTTTAAAATATTTGCTGTGATAAAAATGTTTGCGATATGTTTCATGTATCAATTATGCCATCGGTATGGGGCACTAAATTCTATTTATACCACTTGAGTTTAACTTTTTCTTAATTTTTTTTTACTATGGTAACTTCCTTATGTTCTGGTTTTTGATATAGTAATACTGTTGTATTTTAGGTAAAAAAAAGGTTCATGAGCTTCTACATCAATGGGGGAAATTTAGAATAGGATTTGTTTTTTGAACGTAATAGTCCGTTTTTTTGTCGTCCACATATAATGATCGGTAACTTTCTCATAAACAATTAAATTGACTGCAAAGTCGCTAAGCCGTAAGAGTAGTAAGCAACACAGCATCTTTACCCATGGGGATTAAAAAAGTTCTGCGAGGTACACTTATGGTGAACCAGCTGCTCAGGGATTGTAGAAAGGAAAAGTGTTGGGTAGGTTTAAAATGCAGAATAAGATGCCGTCACGATCGAATGCGCATGTTTAAATAACGTTGATCCAGGTACCTATCGTATAAATTTGCATATCATATAGTTATGGTTATTGTCAATAATACTTACATTTCGATAAAGATGATGCTTCCAATTTTACGTTTTATGTGATACTTATTATCACAGAATTCAACTTTGAATCGTAGACCAGGTCTATTAACAATACACTCGTTCCGAGAAGGGGTAATGGTACCACTCATGCTGTATAGTCATCTTCTTCTTCTTCAGGTTCGCTCACCACCCGGAATGAAGGCTCGGTGCGGTTAGTAATATCAAACAGTGTTACATGTAAACGAAAAAGAGATACAACCAGGATTAGTTTTTTAAAGAAATAGTTTCATCTGAATACCCAACTAGCCATATCTCATTGACATTGTCCCACTTACTTTAGTACTTTGGTACTCACATGAAATGTTGTGCAAGTACCACAAGTTCAACAACGCCCAACTATGGACAGCTCAATGTTAATACCATTTACTTTTAGAATCAGCGTACACCAACATGATAATCTTCTAAGAAACATGTACAGAGATAAAGCTCAAAAATACAGTTTTAACTGATGGTACTTTATACACATCAAACTGTCCAATATTGGACCCTGCCAACAAACGGCGCCTGCACCTGCACCACGGCGCTTCGTTTGCCGCCGAAAACTGATCGTATCCAGATCCTCGAAGCCCACTTTGGGTACTCCAAAACTATGGGAAAAGTACTATTGTCCGGGTATGTGTGAGGACATCAAGCGGTTCTCTCGAGGATGCCAGACGGGCAAAACGGCGAAACATCCAAGCATTGCACGAGTACCTCAAATTGGGCGTCTGACAACAGCGTCGATCCCTTGGCAAGTTGTGTCCATTCCACAGTCGAAAAAGGGCAACACGATGCTGCTAGTCGTCACCGATCACTTCTCTAAGTTCCTGTTGTTTGGGGTTCCGGAGCGGCCCACAGTTCAAATCCAACCTTTTTGCTACTTTCTTGAAGATGGTTAACCACTGGCAAAATTCCAATTACCCTCCAGCAAATAATCCGACCGAACGGGTGAATCGGGTTATTGGTGCAGCGATCAGAACATACCTAAAAGAAGAACAAAAATAATGGGATGAGAACCTTCAGAAAATTGCTATGAGCCAAAGGAATTACGTGATGATCAAAAGGAAATCTTCGAAAACACAAGAATGATCCTAAAAAAAGAGCATACGAAAAATACAAAGTATTATAATTTGAGATCCACTGTAAAACCTATCGGAAATAGTAGTGAAGAAAACTATTTCATTTCCAATAAAGCAAGCATTTTCGATAGAAAGTTGGCTGACACCTACTCACTTTCCTGCACAAATTATTGATAAACTAGGTTCCAATTGAGGGGGTTGGAAGGAAAGGGGTGTAAGTGACTTTGATCGACTTTCTCTTATGATATCCACAGCTCTATTTCTGCCACATAGTTTGATAAAGCATCCACACGAATCAAGGAATTAATTTGTAGCTAAATTATTAACGAAAGTGAAAATCGATGAAGAGAATCGATCAAAATCACTTGAACACTTTTCTTATAACCCCCTCAGTTGTTATGAACTGGAGGATCCACTGATCAGCAACATCCGGAATGAATAGGACTCCATCATCACTTTTTATGCACTAGGAATTCCAGCTTCACCGTTAATTGTGTTGATTCTGATGGGTGCTCACCAGCAAGCACACTCCTGGCAAAAGTAGCACCAGACTTTGTCCTACCACTATCCGCAACAAAATATTCAGTTAATGATGTGTCGTGAAAAAATTTGACGTCTTAATGAAAAAGAAAACATGCACGCCTACTATGACCAAAACGTCCAATTTTCACGACGTCCACCCCCGCCCGCGCATCACCTTCCAGACGCTACCATAGCAACACCCTTGTAACCAAATTTTCACACGCCAGAAGTCTATATAAGGAGGCCTGCTGCTAACAATCGTTAAGAGGCTTCTGAGGTGGATTCAAAGCGGACGTACTTTTCATCGCTCTCCCAATATTTCCAATTAAGGACGATTCAAGCAAAATGTTTCCTAGTAAGGCGAAGAATGGTCGCGATGCTCGGCAGACCCGGTCTGGTCGAAATGTTAGACCGGTGTCTTTGCCGGATTTTATGCGTGCCGATCCCGATGGTAAGCTAACGGCCATTTACCAGCGAATAAAGGCGGCTTCTTTGAAGCCAAAGCTGCCAAAAAGGCAGGATCGCTGGGAAATGCTTAAAAACTTACCGGTAACCGATGAGTATGACAATGTAAGGTCATCGGTCGGTGAGTATATCCGGGGGCCGTTTGTAGCATCTACTAGGAAACTGGAGATTGGTGAGAGATTTGAGATGAGCGGAATTACCCAGAATGCCTCAGGTAACGCGGGTAATGGTAAGGAAAATTTAGATTATAATTATGATACTGTAGGGCTAGAGATCAATAATGAATTAGGAGATAGGGTTGAAGAGAAACATTTAAATTCATGTGAGGTATTTAGGTGTAACAGAGCCGATGTAGATTCGGTTCTGACAGCAGGAATAGCCAGGGTACAGCAATGTACGACAACGGTAGCAGTGTTTGAAGCATACGCCAAGACACACCATGAACTTTTGGAGCGTGTGACGTATGTAGCGGACACTGCTAACGTTTATACGCAAACTACTTCTCCCAAACTGCAGCGTACTCAGTTGAATTTTGTGTATGCTGGATTTTGGGAGCACTGTACCCTGCGAGAAAATCAAGGTATGCAAACCGAGGATGATCAAAATTTGACAGTTACAAAGCAGCCTACTGTGCTGCTTGAAAAAAAATCCAGTGACCTAAACCCAAATTCGCTAAAGAAAATGTTTGGCTGGAAATGTTTAGGATTGACTTTTTTGGTTTCGGCCATGGCCCTCGGTTTAATGGAAATTTCAAATTTCGTCTAGTAGTTTGGTGTTCTTTTTTGTTATCAGATCGAGCTCACTGGTGGTCCAACGAATTTCATTAAAATTTCTTAGCTTCTCCGAGGTTTCCTGACGAGTAAAGGTGTTGTAGCCGGGTACTAATGAATACTTCGAGCTACCATCTTTACTACGAGGATTCCTCGGAACCCATTAACACCGGATAGGGACCTTTTGGTGAACAAAATTTGTTTAGGGACCGTGCTTCCGAGCAAACCAATCGATGTGGCAGAGTGCTATCATCGAAGATCTTATTATTTATGGAGTTCGAAGGACCACTACCGTGAGCTCGATCGTTGCATTTTAGAGTAGCAGAGTTAGGTTTTAGACATAGTAGGTATATATGTAGAAAAAGAATCAGTTAGATTGATAGGAGCTAGGGCAGGAGCACATATGTGATTGGCAGGGAATGTGGTGGGAGTTTAAAGGTACTGAAAAGTCACCCCTTTTGATGATTTTGATTGAAACTGAAAATCGGTTTCGATCGAAATTAGTAATAGAGGTGACTTTTCAGTACATTTAACGGGGCTTATCACATATGTGCTCCTTTTATCTTGTTAGTAAGCTACTTCCAAATTTACCGTTTACTTATAGTAGCTAGCTAGTTAAAAGGGTGGTATCACATTTCTCGGATATTAATTTCAGAATGGGCCATTTATCAGTTTAACGTTTTCGGCAATATTTCTGTTAAAGAATTTTTAAATTAAGAAAGCTTTAAAAAATATATTGAAATGGGAATATTTCGTTCTTTGAGTGGTTGCGCTGTTTTTTGTTGTATTTTATGTTCGTTTGTTTATTGTTTTTTTCTTTAATTTGATATTTGAATAAAGAAGGTAATATTCCCATTAGCAAAATTTAGAATGCACATGATTTTATACTTTCATGTAAATGGTCCATTTTGGGAAATGAATCTCGAGGGAAATGTGATACCACCCTGAGAAGCATTTTTAATCAGTTAGGAGCTAGAACAGGAGCACATATGTGATTGGCAGGGTTTGTGGCGGGAGTTTAAGGGTACTGGATACTTTGTTCAGTACTTTTAACGGGGCCTCTCACATATGTGCTCCTTTATTCTTGACACACAGGATAGAAAGTAGGTAGTTTGAGTGAAACTATATTTAATAGAAAAGAGCTAGGGTCGGAACAAGAATTTAATCAGCAGGAAATGTAGTCCCACATTTGAGATGTCCTGCAACTTTTTTCGTTGTCAATTAAAATTGCAATTGTGCATTTCAGGGTAATATTTTTCAAGTTAAAAAACAATCCTATCCCATATTTTGTATGAATGAAAGTGTATCAATCAAGTGGTGTCGCTAAATTTTGTTAATTTAAGATCCTGTTGACAAATGAATAATTCAAATAGTATTACGTAACTAAAGCTAACCAAGACACCATTGTGGAATGCTCTTCGGCAGGGGAACTATGCCATTAGCGCGAAGCATTTTTAAACCACTGATGCTGGCGCCAACTAGTATTGTCTTTACTATCTGGTTATCACTTGATTCAATAGGATCAGATCCGCCATTAGCACAAGATGGGTAAGTGTGCCAGTTATTGATCTGAGTGTTTCTCTAATTGACCCTGCCTTATTGAGGAGGTATGTTCGGTTCATTGTTTGATCTCATTCTTACTGGATAAAATTATAAACATGGATTGCCGATATATCATCTGTTTAAGATAAATCCAAAAAATTAGAATGATTATTTCAAATTACAACAATAAATTTCAGATGACGATCTTTCGTTTGAGCTTATTGTCAAAACCGTCAAACCCAATCACGTAAGTTTAACGTTAAAACATTGGTGCACAAAGGTAATGAATTAATCTGCGAGATAACCTACCTCTTACGTAAAGAAAATAAAGGACGAAGGTCCAAGGTCGCACCTTTGAAACAAATAACTAATCCCAGGTGGGAACTTTTCGTAGCACTAGAGAGGGTCTAGGATAAGAGATAAGCGGACTGGTTGATTTTAAGCCAACCGAACTGTCAAAACCAGAGACAATCGAGCAACGCACATCTTGATTGAAATGGCAGTGTTGCTAGAAACCACTTAGGCATAGGTTTCCAGGTCGTTTGAGTTGAATACGTTTCTCTCTTATCCTAAAAACCCTCTCTACGTAGCACCTTTGGCTGTTGCGCTATAATAATAAAGAAAGTCGTACCTTCGTCAAAGAAGATGCTGTTTAAACGAGTGGTGCTTTGGTTCGACAGTCAACATTGTTCGGGTGGCTTGGTTGTCCAAGTTTCGGATCAGCTTCAAAGAATTTCAACTAAATTGGAAATGGAGACACGTTTGATCACTTAGACAGGACTTTGATGTAAGTTTTCCAAGCACTGTATTTAACCCTCCTGAGAGGATGATTACACGCGTTATTGTACGTTCAGGGTACAGAGTTGTAACATTGAAGATCATCAAAAACTACTTGTCGGGCAGATCATTGCAGGTCTACTTGAACAATGTCCCCTCTGATACGTTCAACGTTGATGCAGGAGTCCCTCAGGGTAGCCTGATTGAGCCTACCCTATTCAACATTTTCACGTTAGACGTTCCTCACTTGCCGGGTGGTGGTATCCTGTCAATGTTCGCAGAATACACCTCCATCATCTATAAGAGTCGAGTGATCCGTGCTCTGGCGAGTAAACTACAATCAGGCCTGGATGTTCTGTTCGACTATTTCGAGATCAGGCCGCTCTATCCTCTGATAAACAGGAAGTCCACCCTTTCCCTCAAAAGACAAGCTTGCTGTCCACAAGCAGATCATTCTGCCGGCTATTGAGTATGGTATGCTAATATGGGAGAGTTGTGCTAAGTGCCACCACCTAAAGCTTCAGAGGATCTTAAACAAGATCATCAGAATGATCCTTAACAATCCACCGCGAACTCGTAATTCTGAGATTCACCACCTGGCCGGTCTTAAAACACTCGAAGAGCGAAAGACGTCCACGCTCGAAAGGGTCAGAGTCGCCTGTCTGCGATCAAACCACCAGATCATTCGATATTTGGCAACCTAGTGCAAGTAGTTAGGTAGGTTCATGTGCTCAAGTAGGTAGGTTATCACATTTTTAAATTCAAACAGAAACAAGCCCTGAAAAGGGTATCCTGTAAATTAGCGCTAAACGCAATCATCACATTAGAATAACCAATTAACTAGAACAAAGTTGAAGAGCCAAAGGCTAACCAATTGAAATGTATAACCAAATGTTGAAACTTTAAAAACCAGCAAATAAACGTTAAATTTACTACCCTGCTTGACCGTCCAGCAGTACAGTTCGGTTTTTTACTCGTTCTCTTGAGTTGTTCGCTAGTTCGTTGCGATAGTATTTGCGTTCTCTTTCGCGGTGTTTGGTGAAGCATCCTTTTGACGCGACTGCTATTCCGATCGGGAAGCAATTCCTATTGGACACCACCAGTGCTCAACTGGCATCGAACAATCGTTACGCCATCCTGGAAAACGGCGATGATCCAAAGGTGGAAAAGATGGAGAAAGTTCCACCGTTCTTCGTAAAAGGATTCCCAGAAGGCTTGCGGAGAAAATCGACTTTTACATCGGTAAAGGTTGTAGGAGCTCAGTATTTCTATATCGAAAAGTCCGAACCTACCAGTGAGATAGATGTAGAAGATAAACAAAGACAAAATGTGAGAGTGTTATGCTATAAATGTATCTGAATTAATCAGTATCGGTTGATTTTTACATAAGTCAGCAGATGAGCATCAGGCTGGTTACTCAAACTACAACTGAACTTTAAGACGGATTAATTAACTTTAGCCCAGACAACCAGAATGCACGTATATTCAAAATTATTTTCGTGATATACAAACATATATACAAACAAAAAATTCGTATAGAATGCAAATAAATGGTTTATACGTACAAAAATAGAGGCCATATACGTGCATATTTTAATTTAATTTTTAACGAGTTGATTTAACAACATGTACGATTTACTCTGTAATAACAAATTCATTTTGAAAAGTCTTACGATGTAATCCGAATTCCCTTCAAACATTCCTCAAAACGTTAGAACTATTCATGATTAGGTGTCGTCGAGTTCTCTGCATCTCTCTTATAGAAATGTTGAACTAACATTCCTTTCCTATCTCCATGAGTCAATTGGAGCAACATCGCAGCGGAGCAAAACTCCGGGGATCTCATTTCGCGCGGAGCGTCGCCAGAACTAATTCAGCGCAACAGTCTGTGGTTGAATGGTTCTGCATGGAGCACTGTGAATCAATCGACATCCGACATCGACACTGACCAACACTGACCAACAGCACATTGATAGGGAGCAAAGAACAGTAGCCGTCTCTCTCATCACTCTCTACGAAAATGACTTTCTCGATGGAATGATGGCAAGATATTATCCCGATCTCATGATGGTCACTGCTCGTATTCTTTGGTTAAGGTCTCCTGAATCTCAGTCGATTCCTCGTTTGTTAGCATGCGAGCTTGATCGAGCCCAAACAGTTTACATGCGCCACGTTCAGCAGCAGCACTTTCGTGAAGAGCTGAATCATCTGGAGTCCTGGACGAAGAGGGTATGCTCAGGGTGGGCGGAAGGATACAACAGTCAAGTCTCAGCTACGACGTTCGACATCCTATATTGATCCCTCGCTATTCTATCCTCAAATCGTATCTGTTGAACCATGACCACATCGTCCATCACCACTGTGGGCCAAAAACACTGCTGGCAGTACCCCGAAGAAGATTTTCGATCATCAGTGGGGCAAGTGCAGCAAGGAAAGCTTAACGTCAGTGTGTGACGTGTGCACGTGTTAAGCCAGTACCAACGTATCAACTAATGAGTCAGCTGCCATCTGATCGAGTTCAACCAAATCCACCATTTGCGATTACTGGCGACGACTATGCAGGTCCAGTCAGCATTGTTGGACGTAGGACCAGAGGTGCGAAACAAAGCAAAGAATACATTGCACTCTGTGTTTGCTTTATAACAAAGGCCGTGCATATGGAAGCTATGTCTGAGCTTACTACTGTCGCGTTCTTGGCGGCATTCACTAGATTTTCTAGCTGCTACCGTTTGTCAGCGATAATGTCCTAGGATAACGCAACGAACTTCAGAGAAAGAGCTAAGCACCTTCGAGAAATGTACGCAAAACTGTGCAAACTTCTGTGCACAACGATGAAGTGACCGCATTTCTAACCGACAAGGGAGTGGAATGGAACTTCATTCCAGCTCGGTCGCCACACTATGGAGGACTATAGGAGTCAGCGATCAAGGCATTTGTCGAAGATCACCAGCAGTTACATCATTACCTTCGAAGAACTGGCCACGCTCAAATTGCTGCATGAACCGAAGGGCACTTACACCGATCTCCAATAGCCCGATGGATCCTCAACCTCTCACTCCAGCTCATCTTCTCATCGGTCGTGCACTCACCACCGTTCCCGAAGTCAACTTGCTGGAGCCGAAAATTAGCTCGATGTCAGGCTGTCAGTTTGTTCAGCGTCTCTCGCAAGAATTTCGCACTAGATGGCAGACAGAATACATGCGATCTCTGCAGCGGATGTCAAAGTGGCAACGTTCATCACACAACGTTTCGGTCGGCGACTTCGTTCTATTAGGGGATGTCAATTCGAAGCCAAATCAATGGCCTACGGGTAGAATCATCGAAACCTACCCAGTAGCAGATGAACTGTAACGTACGATCAGGATGAGTATGTTCCAAGAAGACTTCGATCAGAAATTCCCAGAGGAAATTTGGTTGGCAGATTATGTTCGAGCGACACCTCTGGACGTTCCCCTTACGAGTGAGAAGTGAACAGTTGTCCCCTGCAGCATCCTCTGAACCGGCTATTATTAGTTTTGATAGATAGGATTGTTTAATTTTTCGTAACATATACAATTTACTCTTTCCTACAACCAATTCCAAATGCATTGAATGGGAATAATAAAATGCAATTCAATAACCGGTGAAGCAATTCCGCACGCGTTTTTTACTTGTTCAAATAAGGGGTCTACTTACGTTTGATTGAAGTGTTGATTTGGTTGGAGTTCTGAAATAGGAAAAAAAAAAGATTAGTTTAGGATTATTATTTACTAAGGTAGCTTCTTTTACAAACCAAGTTGGTTTGGGATCGTATATAAATCCTAGTGACCTGATGCAAGATGAAATCGGCTACGAGCTCAAACTTAGGGGTCCGTTGAAGGACCAGAGAGAAGCATTTTGGAAAGCTCAACTGGGAGAAAAACAAAATACAAGAATAGGAGCAGGAGGGGCATAGTGAGCATTCCGCACTTTGGCTTTGGATCTCCAGCTGCATGAAACAAATCAACTGGTAGTATCATTATGATATTGATCCTACCACCAACCAATTTGTTACGAACGGCCGGAAGACCAAGCTGGGGCAAGGGATGCTCACTATGCCCCTCTTACCCCTATTACAGACAAAAAAAAAGTCATTTTTGATGAACTGAAAAAAATATCCAAATTAAATCAACCCAGCATGATAATGCAAGGATTCGAGATATGCAGCCTGTACAGTTACAATTAATGTTTTGCTCATTGACCGGATTTTTAGAGCGATAAGCAAATCATTCATTTGAAAAATCGGAAACAAAAGGCTCACAAAATATATAGAAAAAACAATAATCAGGGTAATTTGGAAAAGTATTTGAATATTTGTAACCAGTCTAATTTTGCTGTATCTGCTGCTCTTTATGAGTATAACAATAAAGCTGAAAAATAAATTAAAGCATGTCCAAGAGTCTTCTTCAATAACGTTAAAAATAAAATTTCTATCAACAATTACTTTAGACGAAAAAATAAGCAATAATTGAAAAGATATTTGTTATCTTTTTGTCACATTTTTTCAAGAGACATACTCCAATTTCTCGGATAATGATCATGATTACGAATATTTTTCACAGTTTCCAGTTTTTTCGAACAATTTTGGTGTTAGTAACCTTTATGTTCAAGATATGTTGACAGGTCTAAGAGCTTTGGACACCACTAAAGGCTCAGGACCAGATGGAATCCCGTTAGATTGTATGTAAAATTTAGCAAAAGAACTCACAATTCCTTTATAATGGCTGTTCAATATGTTACTTGTCTCCAGTACATTCTCGCAGGAATGAAAAAAAATCGTTTTTAATATCCATTAATCCAAAATTTGATATCTGAAATTATCGTGGGATTGCCATCAGCTCGTGCATTCCAAAGCTATTCGAATCAATCATAAACAAAAATATCTTCAGCCAAATAACAAACAACTGGAACTGCAACCAAGTTGAACATTTTTTGGAGAAATATATTACATTGTAATTAAGTTGAATACCTTTTTTGGAAAACTTGTACTGCATTTATAGGAACACTGTTCCAGTAGTAGTGGTAGCTGCTAACTTTGGTTCCTATAATAGTGGAATGCATTGGATTCTAATGGGTTCCACTATTATAAGAACACTACCGCAGCTATTGGTGCAAAGGAGTAAAAATCTTAAGGAAAATAAAATGTTTTGCGTCATTTTTGACGGAGAATAGAAAACATAACACATTTGAAACTAATCAAGCAAAGGAGGAAGAAGTGTTCATCAACTTCGTAGAAGAATATTTTGGAGAAGTAAACCAATAAAACTAATACTAGAACCAACAGAGAACGTAACAGGAGATTTGTAGATGGATGGAGAGGAAGAACAACTGTGCTGGAGCATAAAATTGACATAATTCCAGGATAGAAACCGAAGCATCCGAAGGTCTGCGGTGATCCAAAAATAGATGGCAAAGGAAATGGATCGTATGAAGGAGATGGAAATCATCGAATTGTCGGAGTCAGACTGGTGCAATCCAATTTTACCAGTAAAAAAGTCATCAGGAGAGTGGAGGCTTTGACTAGATAGCAGGAGAGTTGACGAGGTAACGAAAAAGGAAGCATATCCTTTGCCTGACATGCAGATGATATTGGGAAGCTAAGAACTTCTCTATTAAAGACTTGTCTAAAGCATACTGGCAAATTCCTTATGTAAACTCTATTGGAAAGCAGGGAATACACGTCGTTTAGATCAGGAAAGCATCTATATCGCTTCAAGGTGATGCCGTTTGAGTTAACAGGGACCCCAATTTTCATTTTCATTTTCATTTTGCAGCGTTTGGTGGGGCAATGGGAGCGAAAGTCAATCCAAAGCCGAGGATAAAGGAAGGGTAATGGCTAAATAGTCTATGCGGACCACTTGAACGCCATGGGAAAAGGAAGGGATTGAAGAGGCCGGTGATTGGGGGTTTTTGAGGAAATGACACATGATTACGAATATTTGTGATGCAAAATGTAAAGAAACCGAAAATCCATCTCCCACTGATTCATCCTTTCACATATATACCAAATTGATATTTTAAAGCAACCATCAAAATAAATAGACAATACATGAATAGGCTAGTTGCCTCCCTAAGCGTACCATCCACATCCTAACTCTTTTGTTAACTTACTTAATGTTATTAGGCTGTCTAAATTTTCTTATTTAAGGTAGCACAGCAAACAAGGAGTAGCAATTTCAAATTTGTATGTTTTGTGGAAGCTGACATTTGTGCCTTTAAAGTTTCACGCTAAGGCTTCTTTAGAGTATCACCTTAAGTTCCTTTGATGATTATGATATCTCATTAGCTTGATTTAATAAATAATTGAATTCTCTAATCTACCCAATCAATTATCAATCAATCATGCTTTATTAAGTACCTGCACTTGTCCATGTGATCTAGAATTTAACGTATTTTAAGTTGTTTGTTACTTAGATCAATATTTATTATATATTAGTTCGACCCAGGTGACACCTTCAAGCATTTTGATGTTAGTTTCCAAGATGATTTTTTAATTATATAGGGTATATGCTCCAATTATGCTCACACATGTCGTTCCTCAAAATTACGTATGGATATGTCACAATAGAAGCACTCCACAGTGGAAATCCCGAGCCATAGTTCAAACAATTTATCCCAAACCAAAATGAAGCATATATAAGACTATTTACAATACCATGTACAAAAATGGTGTTTAACATTGTTCCCTGAGTAATGCTTCAATGAAAACAACAATGAAAGCTTGTCACGCAAGTAGAAGGAGCACTGTTGGGCACTTTCTGAAATATTTCAATACTATAATTCCCTTGCAAACCCAAATAAATCTATCTGTAAAATTAATAAAATAAGGGTGATTTGCGGAAAAACCCACCAGTATCGCACCCAACGTCAGTGCCTATACGTAAGCGTACTACGACGCGGCTTTTAAAAAAAGGAGTAACAGGTGTGATAATATCACTTCAGGCTAGATCTTTGGTTTTCTCATGCAATGGTTCATCAGAGAGGGGAAGCTCAGTAATCCTCATCGCATGCTCATGACGCTATTCTGCCATGGCATGAGCCAACGATGCCGGACCTAAACCAATCGTCTCCAACGCTCCACTATGAAACATAAGATTAGGCCCGCTCACCAACGTCCAGGTTAAAAACTAGCCAAGGGGAGGGAGTTAACAGGGACCCCAATAACCCAATGTTTAATAGAGTTCTGGGATATGACATGGACCACAGGTTTTTGTTCACCTGGATGACATAGTCATCACCTCTGAGACGTTAGTAGAACACTTGAAGTTATTGAAAACCAGTAGCGGAAAGATTGAGCAGAGCAACTTATCCATAAGTGCGGAAAAATCAAAATTTTTCGAAAAACTAATTTTATATTTTATATATATTTTGTCAGAGGAAGGTATATCGATAGATAGTAGATCCCTCACCAACAACGTTGAAAGAAGTAAAAAGATTGATGGGAATGGTTGGGTTCTACAAGCAATTTATACCAAACTACAGTACCATCATGGCACCGATCACGGGCCTACTGAAAAAGTCGATAACTAAACTGATTTGGACTGAAGAGGCATACAAAGCATTTAATGAAATCAAAAGTGTACTCACTTCTTCACCAATCCTGGCAAATTCAGTTCTCAATGAATATCGACGCCAACAGTATTATTTTCAAAAAAAAAAAATGATCAGCTCAGAGGAAGTATTCGGCAACAGAACGAGAATGCCTAGCAGTAATTTTGGCCATTGAATTTCGCTTCCGTCGTTACGTAGAGGGTACTCCGTTAACGTTGATAACGGACGTGCAATCCTTGAAATGGCTAAATAAAGTAAGCTTCGAGAGCAGCTTCACACAACTTGTTTGGTGGGCCCTTAAATTGCAGCAGCATAATATAGTTCTAGAATATAGAAAGGAGTATTAAATATAGTCCCGATGCGTTATCAAGAGCATTAAATGAGGTAGATGTACTTACGGTGGACTTGGAAAAACTGAAGTCGGATATCGAAAAGCTTCACTCCAGACGATCCTCGTTTGCCGCCGAAAGCTGATCGTATCCAGATCCTCGAAGCCCACTTTGGGTACTCCAAAACTATGGGAAAAGTACTATTGTCCGGGTATGTGTGAGGACATCAAGCGGTTCTCTCGAGGATGCCAGACGGGCAAAACGGCGAAACATCCAAGCATTGCACGAGTACCTCAAATTGGGCGTCTGACAACAGCGTCGATCCCTTGGCAAGTTGTGTCCATCCCACAGTCGAAAAAGGGCAACACGATGCTGCTAGTCGTCACCGATCACTTCTCTAAGTTCCTGTTGTTTGGGGTTCCGGAGCGGCCCACAGTTCAAATCCAACCTTTTTGCTACTTTCTTGAAGATGGTTAACCACTGGCAAAATTCCAATTACCCTCCAGCAAATAATCCGACCGAACGGGTGAATCGGGTTATTGGTGCAGCGATCAGAACATACCTAAAAGAAGAACAAAAATAATGGGATGAGAACCTTCAGAAAATTGCTATGAGCCAAAGGAATTACGTGATGATCAAAAGGAAATCTTCGAAAACACAAGAATGATCCTAAAAAAAGAGCATACGAAAAATACAAAGTATTATAATTTGAGATCCACTGTAAAACCTATCGGAAATAGTAGTGAAGAAAACTATTTCATTTCCAATAAAGCAAGCATTTTCGATAGAAAGTTGGCTGACACCTACTCACTTTCCTGCACAAATTATTGATAAACTAGGTTCCAATTGAGGGGGTTGGAAGGAAAGGGGTGTAAGTGACTTTGATCGACTTTCTCTTATGATATCCACAGCTCTATTTCTGCCACATAGTTTGATAAAGCATCCACACGAATCAAGGAATTAATTTGTAGCTAAATTATTAACGAAAGTGAAAATCGATGAAGAGAATCGATCAAAATCACTTGAACACTTTTCTTATAACCCCCTCAGTTGTTATGAACTGGAGGATCCACTGATCAGCAACATCCGGAATGAATAGGACTCCATCATCACTTTTTATGCACTAGGAATTCCAGCTTCACCGTTAATTGTGTTGATTCTGATGGGTGCTCACCAGCAAGCACACTCCTGGCAAAAGTAGCACCAGACTTTGTCCTACCACTATCCGCAACAAAATATTCAGTTAATGATGTGTCGTGAAAAAATTTGACGTCTTAATGAAAAAGAAAACATGCACGCCTACTATGACCAAAACGTCCAATTTTCACGACGTCCACCCCCGCCCGCGCATCACCTTCCAGACGCTACCATAGCAACACCCTTGTAACCAAATTTTCACACGCCAGAAGTCTATATAAGGAGGCCTGCTGCTAACAATCGTTAAGAGGCTTCTGAGGTGGATTCAAAGCGGACGTACTTTTCATCGCTCTCCCAATATTTCCAATTAAGGACGATTCAAGCAAAATGTTTCCTAGTAAGGTGAAGAATGGTCGCGATGCTCGGCAGACCCGGTCTGGTCGAAATGTTAGACCGGTGTCTTTGCCGGATTTTATGCGTGCCGATCCCGATGGTAAGCTAACGGCCATTTACCAGCGAATAAAGGCGGCTTCTTTGAAGCCAAAGCTGCCAAAAAGGCAGGATCGCTGGGAAATGCTTAAAAACTTACCGGTAACCGATGAGTATGACAATGTAAGGTCATCGGTCGGTGAGTATATCCGGGGGCCGTTTGTAGCATCTACTAGGAAACTGGAGATTGGTGAGAGATTTGAGATGAGCGGAATTACCCAGAATGCCTCAGGTAACGCGGGTAATGGTAAGGAAAATTTAGATTATAATTATGATACTGTAGGGCTAGAGATCAATAATGAATTAGGAGATAGGGTTGAAGAGAAACATTTAAATTCATGTGAGGTATTTAGGTGTAACAGAGCCGATGTAGATTCGGTTCTGACAGCAGGAATAGCCAGGGTACAGCAATGTACGACAACGGTAGCAGTGTTTGAAGCATACGCCAAGACACACCATGAACTTTTGGAGCGTGTGACGTATGTAGCGGACACTGCTAACGTTTATACGCAAACTACTTCTCCCAAACTGCAGCGTACTCAGTTGAATTTTGTGTATGCTGGATTTTGGGAGCACTGTACCCTGCGAGAAAATACAGGCATGCAAACCGAGGATGATCAAAATTTGACAGTTACAAAGCAGCCTACTGTGCTGCTTGAAAAAAATTCCAGTGACCTAAACCCAAATTCGCTAAAGAAAATGTTTGGCTGGAAATGTTTAGGATTGACTTTTTTGGTTTCGGCCATGGCCCTCGGTTTAATGGAAATTTCAAATTTCGTCTAGTAGTTTGGTGTTCTTTTTTGTTATCAGATCGAGCTCACTGGTGGTCCAACGAATTTCATTAAAATTTCTTAGCTTCTCCGAGGTTTCCTGACGAGTAAAGGTGTTGTAGCCGGGTACTAATGAATACTTCGAGCTACCATCTTTACTACGAGGATTCCTCGGAACCCATTAACACCGGATAGGGACCTTTTGGTGAACAAAATTTGTTTAGGGACCGTGCTTCCGAGCAAACCAATCGATGTGGCAGAGTGCTATCATCGAAGATCTTATTATTTATGGAGTTCGAAGGACCACTACCGTGAGCTCGATCGTTGCATTTTAGAGTAGCAGAGTTAGGTTTTAGACATAGTAGGTATATATGTAGAAAAAGAATCAGTTAGATTGATAGGAGCTAGGGCAGGAGCACATATGTGATTGGCAGGGAATGTGGTGGGAGTTTAAAGGTACTGAAAAGTCACCCCTTTTGATGATTTTGATTGAAACTGAAAATCGGTTTCGATCGAAATTAGTAATAGAGGTGACTTTTCAGTACATTTAACGGGGCTTATCACATATGTGCTCCTTTTATCTTGTTAGTAAGCTACTTCCAAATTTACCGTTTACTTATAGTAGCTAGCTAGTTAAAAGGGTGGTATCACATTTCTCGGATATTAATTTCAGAATGGGCCATTTATCAGTTTAACGTTTTCGGCAATATTTCTGTTAAAGAATTTTTAAATTAAGAAAGCTTTAAAAAATATATTGAAATGGGAATATTTCGTTCTTTGAGTGGTTGCGCTGTTTTTTGTTGTATTTTATGTTCGTTTGTTTATTGTTTTTTTCTTTAATTTGATATTTGAATAAAGAAGGTAATATTCCCATTAGCAAAATTTAGAATGCACATGATTTTATACTTTCATGTAAATGGTCCATTTTGGGAAATGAATCTCGAGGGAAATGTGATACCACCCTGAGAAGCATTTTTAATCAGTTAGGAGCTAGAACAGGAGCACATATGTGATTGGCAGGGTTTGTGGCGGGAGTTTAAGGGTACTGGATACTTTGTTCAGTACTTTTAACGGGGCCTCTCACATATGTGCTCCTTTATTCTTGACACACAGGATAGAAAGTAGGTAGTTTGAGTGAAACTATATTTAATAGAAAAGAGCTAGGGTCGGAACAAGAATTTAATCAGCAGGAAATGTAGTCCCACATTTGAGATGTCCTGCAACTTTTTTCGTTGTCAATTAAAATTGCAATTGTGCATTTCAGGGTAATATTTTTCAAGTTAAAAAACAATCCTATCCCATATTTTGTATGAATGAAAGTGTATCAATCAAGTGGTGTCGCTAAATTTTGTTAATTTAAGATCCTGTTGACAAATGAATAATTCAAATAGTATTACGTAACTAAAGCTAACCAAGACACCATTGTGGAATGCTCTTCGGCAGGGGAACTATGCCATTAGCGCGAAGCATTTTTAAACCACTGATGCTGGCGCCAACTAGTATTGTCTTTACTATCTGGTTATCACTTGATTCAATAGGATCAGATCCGCCATTAGCACAAGATGGGTAAGTGTGCCAGTTATTGATCTGAGTGTTTCTCTAATTGACCCTGCCTTATTGAGGAGGTATGTTCGGTTCATTGTTTGATCTCATTCTTACTGGATAAAATTATAAACATGGATTGCCGATATATCATCTGTTTAAGATAAATCCAAAAAATTAGAATGATTATTTCAAATTACAACAATAAATTTCAGATGACGATCTTTCGTTTGAGCTTATTGTCAAAACCGTCAAACCCAATCACGTAAGTTTAACGTTAAAACATTGGTGCACAAAGGTAATGAATTAATCTGCGAGATAACCTACCTCTTACGTAAAGAAAATAAAGGACGAAGGTCCAAGGTCGCACCTTTGAAACAAATAACTAATCCCAGGTGGGAACTTTTCGTAGCACTAGAGAGGGTCTAGGATAAGAGATAAGCGGACTGGTTGATTTTAAGCCAACCGAACTGTCAAAACCAGAGACAATCGAGCAACGCACATCTTGATTGAAATGGCAGTGTTGCTAGAAACCACTTAGGCATAGGTTTCCAGGTCGTTTGAGTTGAATACGTTTCTCTCTTATCCTAAAAACCCTCTCTACGTAGCACCTTTGGCTGTTGCGCTATAATAATAAAGAAAGTCGTACCTTCGTCAAAGAAGATGCTGTTTAAACGAGTGGTGCTTTGGTTCGACAGTCAACATTGTTCGGGTGGCTTGGTTGTCCAAGTTTCGGATCAGCTTCAAAGAATTTCAACTAAATTGGAAATGGAGACACGTTTGATCACTTAGACAGGACTTTGATGTAAGTTTTCCAAGCACTGTATTTAACCCTCCTGAGAGGATGATTACACGCGTTATTGTACGTTCAGGGTACAGAGTTGTAACATTGAAGATCATCAAAAACTACTTGTCGGGCAGATCATTGCAGGTCTACTTGAACAATGTCCCCTCTGATACGTTCAACGTTGATGCAGGAGTCCCTCAGGGTAGCCTGATTGAGCCTACCCTATTCAACATTTTCACGTTAGACGTTCCTCACTTGCCGGGTGGTGGTATCCTGTCAATGTTCGCAGAATACACCTCCATCATCTATAAGAGTCGAGTGATCCGTGCTCTGGCGAGTAAACTACAATCAGGCCTGGATGTTCTGTTCGACTATTTCGAGATCAGGCCGCTCTATCCTCTGATAAACAGGAAGTCCACCCTTTCCCTCAAAAGACAAGCTTGCTGTCCACAAGCAGATCATTCTGCCGGCTATTGAGTATGGTATGCTAATATGGGAGAGTTGTGCTAAGTGCCACCACCTAAAGCTTCAGAGGATCTTAAACAAGATCATCAGAATGATCCTTAACAATCCACCGCGAACTCGTAATTCTGAGATTCACCACCTGGCCGGTCTTAAAACACTCGAAGAGCGAAAGACGTCCACGCTCGAAAGGGTCAGAGTCGCCTGTCTGCGATCAAACCACCAGATCATTCGATATTTGGCAACCTAGTGCAAGTAGTTAGGTAGGTTCATGTGCTCAAGTAGGTAGGTTATCACATTTTTAAATTCAAACAGAAACAAGCCCTGAAAAGGGTATCCTGTAAATTAGCGCTAAACGCAATCATCACATTAGAATAACCAATTAACTAGAACAAAGTTGAAGAGCCAAAGGCTAACCAATTGAAATGTATAACCAAATGTTGAAACTTTAAAAACCAGCAAATAAACGTTAAATTTACTACCCTGCTTGACCGTCCAGCAGTACAGTTCGGTTTTTTACTCGTTCTCTTGAGTTGTTCGCTAGTTCGTTGCGATAGTATTTGCGTTCTCTTTCGCGGTGTTTGGTGAAGCATCCTTTTGACGCGACTGCTATTCCGATCGGGAAGCAATTCCTATTGGACACCACCAGTGCTCAACTGGCATCGAACAATCGTTACGCCATCCTGGAAAACGGCGATGATCCAAAGGTGGAAAAGATGGAGAAAGTTCCACCGTTCTTCGTAAAAGGATTCCCAGAAGGCTTGCGGAGAAAATCGACTTTTACATCGGTAAAGGTTGTAGGAGCTCAGTATTTCTATATCGAAAAGTCCGAACCTACCAGTGAGATAGATGTAGAAGATAAACAAAGACAAAATGTCAGAGTGTTATGCTATAAATGTATCTGAATTAATCAGTATCGGTTGATTTTTACATAAGTCAGCAGATGAGCATCAGGCTGGTTACTCAAACTACAACTGAACTTTAAGACGGATTAATTAACTTTAGCCCAGACAACCAGAATGCACGTATATTCAAAATTATTTTCGTGATATACAAACATTTATACAAACAAAAAATTCGTATAGAATGCAAATAAATGGTTTATACGTACAAAAATAGAGGCCATATACGTGCATATTTTAATTTAATTTTTAACGAGTTGATTTAACAACATGTACGATTTACTCTGTAATAACAAATTCATTTTGAAAAGTCTTACGATGTAATCCGAATTCCCTTCAAACATTCCTCAAAACGTTAGAACTATTCATGATTAGGTGTCGTCGAGTTCTCTGCATCTCTCTTATAGAAATGTTGAACTAACATTCCTTTCCTATCTCCATGAGTCAATTGGAGCAACATCGCAGCGGAGCAAAACTCCGGGGATCTCATTTCGCGCGGAGCGTCGCCAGAACTAATTCAGCGCAACAGTCTGTGGTTGAATGGTTCTGCATGGAGCACTGTGAATCAATCGACATCCGACATCGACACTGACCAACACTGACCAACAGCACATTGATAGGGAGCAAAGAACAGTAGCCGTCTCTCTCATCACTCTCTAC